CTAAAAATCATTAGGGTTCTCTAAGGTTCTCTAGAGTTCTCTAGGGTTCTCTGTTTAGTAGTACCCCTGTACGTACTCTAACATATACTAAAAATTTGTCAAATATAAATATTTAGAACACTGGAAAGATATCGAAATATTTTTGTGTTCTTATTTTACCAGTTCCGAATACCCATTTTAAACACTATAATAATTCACTCTACGATGTTTTCTTTATTGTAAACGTGACTTATTATACCCCCGCTTGATAAAAACAGGAAGAAGGGATAGTAATATAGTAATGGGATGTTTGTTCATCCATCCATCTGTACATCCGTCCGTCCGTCCGTCTAGCTGTTCGTCCGTCTGTCTGATATGCTCTGGGGTATCCATTCTTATCCGCAACCCCTCTTCTACCACTGAATGAAGTTTAATGAGGCTTCACAGGAATCTTTGTTTAACAGTGCCAAAGTGCACCTATTTCATTTTTTGGATCTGGTACATTATTTGGGGTCCCTGAGATAAAACATAGATACTGCCATTCTTTGAAATATTGAAAGGTATATTCATCTCTTATACGCAATTCCTCCTATACCACTGAATAAGATTTAATGATACTTTCACATATTCTTTATTGCATTGTGACATTGTGACCTTTTATTTTACTTTTTGATCTGACATTTATTTCGGGTCTCCCAGAGTAAAACATGGAGTTTATTTTAAATAATCATAAAGGAGGCGTGGGTCATCATTAAAATAAGCTCAGTGCCCAAGTACCTCTAGTTTCTCTTCAACCTTTGGAAATATAAATAATTTATTGGTGAGCATTAATTTAACTTTTCTTAGGCATGCCTTGTTATGGATAACGTCTGGGACATATATTTTTTAATTTAGGGTTGAATTGAATAAGAATCTTTAGGGTATCCGGAACCCGTCGGCTTATTCGTAACTGGTAAAATGGACACCTATGGTAACTTGCGAAATAAATTTTTTTGAGGGAAGGCTGAACTTTTATGAAACAATATTTAATTCAACAAGTCATCGAACTACCTTGACAAAACACTTAGATTTTGATATAATTCCTAGTATATTTATAGCATCGTCCAATCGGTTTCTTATTTGGACTGGCCAAATAACTGTACTCAGTCATGCCTCACCGCACGCATGAGAGAGAAGACAGTAATCAAACAATGGAATTACATGTTTTGCTCTAAATTGTCCAAACGCCCTAATTTTAAACATCTCCGACTTTGGATTGTTTTTATAAGTCGTAAAATGAATATCAATGGTCTCTTAACTTTTACATGTATCTTTATATATACGAAATTGAAAGTACAAAAACAAAACCAGCTTTTTCTACGACAAGAAGTTCGTTGCAATTTGCTTACCATTGTCGTGGGCGGTTTGAAGGCCTGTGCAACTAGCGCAAACTATATTGCCTCCAGTTGGTTCCGTTTTTGGTTGGTTCCACTGTGTCCACATAAAAATTATGCATATAATTAAAATGATATTGTCCAAACGGTCCCGGTTTAACTCATTGTTTTGCTATTTAATTTCCAACTAATGAAAATTTTCACAGGCGATAACTCGCAACTGTGCATTTACTTTAACCTTAGAGAGTTCTGAATGTAAACATGGAGGTAATTTGACTTCAGAGAAAACGTTCGTTTTTTCCTAATGAATTTCCTTTTCGTATTCCTATGGATTATTATTAGGGATAAAACGCATAAGCAATCTAAAAAGGTTCGTTTTAATTATTTTGGTAGTTATTCCCAGTGCAAATCATTTTATATTCTTCAAGTGTATTGTGGTTAAACTTTAATATATATCTACATTGCAAGTATATGGGACGTATTCTAACTGTGGTGAGGGCTTCATTTTAGAGACACAGTTAGTACAATATAACTAGTGTCCACAAAGAAAAGATACCAATACCATTTCTCACAATTTGCTCATGAGCAGCTTTAAAATGAGGACTAACCAGATTTCCTCACCTGAGTTGCTCATGTGAACTTTTTGCAATTTAACATGCAAATTAGGTAAAATGCTCACGTAGCAGGATTGGACTGCACATTAGCATTTTTTGCTTCGTGAGTAATCATTTTGCTGTTACAAGCTCACGTGAGGCTCATACTTGTTTTTTTTTCATGTGCAACAATTGCTCACTTGAACAAGTAACAATAGAACAATTAAAATTCAGATTACAAACATTTTATAATTATATAATTTTAAATGTGCACATCAATTACATTTTAAATTCAACCATGTTCATGTAAAATTTGTGCATAATTAAAATTCATATTTTAAATAAAAAAAAAAAAATTAAATTATTAATTTTGTAGCATGTACACATCAACAAAGTATTTTTTTCCAATAGTTCAAACATTTCCAGGAATTAACATGTTTTGTAAATGTCCAAACGTCAACATTTTTGACTGCACTGCTTTGGATTGTTTTCTAAAAGTTGTCTTGGAGGCTAATAGATGTTTCTGCCTTTACTGCATGAATATATACGTGGCAAAGTGACATACTTGGGGTTAAAATAATAATCCAGTGGTCATAGAGCGCATAATCAATTCATCCTGTTCACAAGCTTTTTCCTTGCATTTCCTTTGTTGAGGCCAACATCAGAACTCCGTCATGAATGCAAGCTATATTGTCCTCCAGTTGGTTCCTTTGATGACTTTTATCCACAAAAATTTGAAGTTGCGATTTTTTGTATATTTTCAATAAAAAATGCCATGGTCATGAAAAGCAATTAAGGCAATTAAATAGAAAAATCATATGCATCAATATTTAATTAGCAACTTAAATACATGCATCATGTACATGTAATTCATAGAATACTGTACTGGAATGAGACTGTCAATTGTACACTTTGACCTAATCTGTTATCATTTTTATAGTTCTTAATTAATAAACTGTAATTCAAGATAACATTCTGCACTAAATATACATGTATATCAAAATAAAATACACTGATAATTAAACCACAAACATATTATTTTTTTAATAAGTAATTCTAAAATGAGAGGGGGTTATAAATTTCCTTAAAGCACTTACCCTTTTCTCAGATCAGCAAATATTCTTTGTAATTTAATTTCCTTCATTTAGTGGCTGCAAGATGGTAATCTAATTGAATAATCATTTCCTCATCCCATGGACATACTGGATACATTTGTAACTTTTAAAGGCTGGCAAAAATATGGTGATGACATGTATATCCATAATATATTTCAGTTCTTTACTGTATTAATCCATATATTTTCAATGTACCTCAAGTTTGAATTGAAATTTTGAACTGGTCTGAGAAGGCGCACAAATTCTGACTGGCTCTCCTCATTGGATACTGCCCTACTTTAAGTAACAGTGGGGGACACAACGGGTTGTTTAGGTAGAGGAAAGCATTTTCAAATTGATGGGATGAAGATTAGTAGCTCAAGAAATTAGATATTCCTGTAGACATATATACATTTGTGATGCTATCAACAGGAAGTGTTAACACTTAACACATGGTCAATTTGTAATAAAGGCTTGGGAAAGCTTGGACCACATAGAGTGTCAGAGTATTGTATATACTCACGAGCCTCAGGTGATATTTGACCTGATGTAAAAAATTATTTTGGTTCATATAAATTATCAATTTTAACATGTCCAATTTCCTCATCTTTCACCTTTTGCTCACATGAGAAAACTGATATTAATCACTACCAATGTAAGGCTGTTTCTAGTATTGAATAGACTTTTGCTCATGAGCATTGACTAATTTTGCACATGTGCATTTTGGTTAATTTTCCTTCCTACACTTCTGCACATAGCAAAATTGGATATTCTCATGTGAATGTCATATTTCTGTTTGGTACAGGAATGAATATTTTTTGTCTCTTTTAAATAAAAAATAAAATTTTGAAAAGTTACATTGAAATAGCTAATATTTTTAAAGCTACCTGAGTATTTTAAAATGTGATGAAATTGCTACAAATGTTCAAATGTAATAAAGTTTACCATACAAATCTGTTTTATTTTCCTTAAAATATAAGAATTTATCAGGTCATTTAAATACATACATCATTTAAAAATTTACCTATTAAAAAATATCAGGTCTTTATGGACCGTGACGATTTCAAATCATCAGGTCACATTTTTTCCTAAATTCGTATACAAAGATTTGTTTTCCATTTAAAATGTTTAACATTTTATCAAAAAATTTCCTTAGTCTTATTCTCATTTTCCTCATATCAGTCATTTATAAATTTCCCTTCTTTTGAAATATCAGAGCTACTTTCAAAATTTGTTGGTCAAAATTTTTGTAAAACGAAAAAAAGCATATATGGCTATATAAAATGAAAATTATTGGACTAAAATTATTATAACTTACTATTTGTATCATTACTTTATATAAAGATAGAACTTTTCCGTAAATTACAAAATCTAAATCAATTGCGTTATAAAGATATCACAATTTAATTTGGATTCTCGGAATTTTCTCCGACTCGGAAGAAAATACAAAAGATTTAAATAACACATTACAGAGAAGATAAAATCGTATCATTAGATGAAACGATTAGATGAAAAGATTTAAACTCTATGTAAATAATTTACTCAATGACTAAAGTAAAGGCGTTATGAAAATTTAACATAATATATACATACAACTTAAAATAAACATTTAATGATGTGGAGGCATCCTCGAGCAGCATAAGTTAAACCCGTTGTATTTGCACCCCTATTAAAAGAGTTGTCATATATGTCACATTATGTAAAATAATCTTATTTGTGCATTTGCGAACACAGACCTTAAATCAATTTTTAAAATCTCGGATGAGGTGGCATTTACGCCCTTAATTCTTTAGCCAAACATATTTACAGATCCTGCTATTTACTAATGAGGTGGCATATTTACAAATGAGGTGGAATTTATGCCCTTAATTTTTTTTAGCCGAACATATTTACTAATCCTTGGTATGCCTGCGGGCACATAAGGCAAGCACTAGACTTATTCACTTTTCTCTGTCTTTTACATTTTTCTCCAGTTCTCCTCAAGTTAGCTTGTGGTCCCTGAGGTTTTTTTTTCAACAGTCCTTCGCCACATGGTCTTTTGAAAACCAGTTTTCCTCTTCCCTTCCGGTGCCCATCGAAGGAGCTACTTTGGTAATGTTGTTGGATGGTTTCCTCAACACATGCCCCAGGCCTCGCCATTTACGTTAAGTCAACACTCGGGTGACCTATGGCTACAATGTATTTATTTTCGTTGGTCTTTGTACATTGTTTGTCGTCAATCAATCATGAACTTTAAATAATTTTTAGCATCTCCTCTGGTCAACCACTGAACCAATTTCAACTTAAGCAGTTAGCATATAGCATTTATAGATGAAGGGAAACAAAAATTATCAAATTTATGGTCCCTACCCCTGGAGCCTGAGGGGTGTGACCAAAAGTGCTAAGTTATAATAATTGCAATATTTAAGAATTATCTTCTTTACTGCTGAACATCAAGCAGCCAAACTGCTGGCATGATTCTAATCAGCATTGAGTACTCTACCAAGGATGTTAAATTCATGGCCCCAGATGCAGGGTTCTAGTGCTAGGACGGGGCTATATAGGTTATATAGTGAAAATGCATTTAAAATCTTCTATTCTGCTCAACTTAATGTACAGTGATGATGAGCAAGGGTGTCTCTTTTAAAATTGTAAATTTCATGGCTCCAGGGTCAAGAGTTCTGGTGTAATGGAGGGGCTTAATTGATATTCTTGTGAAATGCATTCTTTGAAAATCTTTTATGCTCTTTGGTATTAACCTAATGAAATAATTAGATAGTTATGATGAGGAAGAGTGCTTCTCCCAAAACTGTGAATTTCATTGCCCCTGGGTAAGGTGTTTTGGTGTTAGAGTGGGGGCTCTAATGATTATATAAATGTAGTGAAAATGCATGAATTCTCTGAAAATCTTCTCTTCTGCTCCTAGGTATTTAACTGATGAACTAAGTAAATAAGATTGAAAAGTGTATTTTTCTAAAATTATGAATTTTATGACCCCTGGTGAGGGGTTTCATGGAGGGGGGCTTATTATGCCCCTCTTAGAAGAAGGAAGGATATATTGCTTTGCTGCTGTCTGTTGATTGGTCTGTCTGTTGGTACATCATCAGTTTTCGTTTAGTTTTTTGAAGTTGTTACACACATTAAAATGAAATTTTGTATACAAATTGATCATAAGAATATCTAGGTCAGGTTCTGTTTAAGGTACGATTGAGCCATTTTGGATAGAAATATGCATCTTGGACTTTAAAAAATTCCAATTATTTGGGGGAGGGGGAGCATAAATTTTTACAAACATCTCTTGTTTAATTTTTACTAAAAAAAATAATGATTTTTAAATTTTGTACTGTGCTCCTGGGTAATAAGCAGATGCACATATACATAGTTAAAATAGCAAAGAGTTCCTCTTCCGAAATTGTGAATTTCATGGTTCCTTGGTCAAGGGTTCCATGTGTGTTTGTAGGTAAGGGAGTGGGGGGGGGGGTTATTTATTATTTTCTGAAAATAAATTAAATGCTATTGAAATAATTTTTCCTCTGCTCCTTGGTAGTATTCAAACACTTATAACATACATGTAGTTATGATGAGACAGAGTGCCTCTCTCAGAATTGTGAATTTCTTGGCTCCTGGGTCAAGGGTTTTTTAACTTGGGTTGGGCTCAATTGATTAATTGGCAAAAATGCATAAAAATTTTGAAAATTCCTACTCTGCCCCTGAGTATTGAGCAAACAAATTAAACAATGTTAAATGCAACAATATCAATGTAAATGTATTTAAAAACAATTATTAGTAAATTTGTCATTTTTTTTTTCTTTATTTAAGTACTTGCAAAACATATACACCTCTCTCTCCCACTCTCATACCTGTTGGAAAAATACACATAAATAAACATCTGTTATACATACATAAGGATAGATACACTTCAATATACGTATAATATACATAAACTTACGCAGTATGCAATGCATATTCAATCAGTAATTATCTAAAGAGTTACTATTGGACACATTAAAAGGACATTTCCACTTGGACCATCTATTTTTGTAAAATATATTCCCTGACAATTTTTCTTCTAAACAATAGTAATTATTTAAATATTTTAAGATTTCATTAAAAACAATATTATTGTTTTTTCTTGATTGTTGAAATAAGTATTTCTTCACTAGTAAGATAATCAAATTAATTGCCATATGATCTTCTTCCAAATTACCAAAAATAACAGTTTTGACATCAAATACAATTCTTGTACCAGACTTTTGAAATATCCAATCTGACAATGCTAACCAAATCACAAAAACCTGTGGACAGTAGAAAAATAAATGCTTGATTGATTCTGGTTCTAAGTTACATATTGAACAAAGTGGTGAATTTTTGATTTTAGACAGATATAGGTTTTTGTTAGTACCTAATATTCTATGGATAATTCTATAATTGAACCACATAAGTCCTGAGTCTTTTGTTGTCAATTTAAAGTTTGCATAAACATGTTTCCAATCAAAATTTAACTCTAATTTTAGATCAGTATTCCATTTGTTTTCACAAATAGGTCTGTGCTGTGTTTTTGACATTAAATAATCATAAATATTTCTGGATCCTTTTCTGTTCTTACAAAGTATTTTTACAAATTCCGGTTGATATGGTTTAACAAAAGTATAACATAAATATTGTTTGATATTTGGCCATGCAGTCAAAATGCTTTGCTTCAAACCTTCATATGTAGTAAAAGGTAATTTTATAAAATAATCATTTGTGATACTTTCATAACTAATAAAATTGCCTTCTGTATTGAATAAATCATGCACTATATGGAACCCTTTATCGAACAATTGTTTACAAAATACATATTTATTTTGAATCTTTATTTTATTATTATACCACAGTGGCTCACTCAGTGAATGTATATTAAAACTCTCTATAAACTCACTAAAATAAAATAGAGTTTCTTTCCAAAACATGTTTTGTGTGACTTTTGCCCTTTGTTTACAATATTCAGACCCAAAACTACATAACTTGTTAATATTACATCCAGTAATTTCTGAGAAAAGATTACTCCAATCTGGATTAGTTGTTAAAATTCTCCTTATCCAAGTAAGTTTAAGAGATTTAATAAATGTTTCTATATTAGTCATTATACATCCACCATTTCCGAAATCCAACTGCAATGTTTTTCGAGAAATTCTATCAACCTTATTTCCCCATATGAATTTATATAAGATTTTTTCGAAGAGCTGTATCCACTGCAAGCTAGGTTTTGGAAGGGATGTGAATAAATGGGTGAACTTTGATAGGAACAAACTTTTTACTACTGTTATTTTTCCTAAAGGGGTAATATATTTCTCTTTGACCAATGGTTTATTTCTTTTTGAATAAGTTTAAGCTTCTAGTCAAAGTTAAGTTCCTACATTTTTTTTTTTAGATTTGCTGTATATGTTATACCAAGAACAGTAAAAGGTTCGGTCGTCCATTTCAATCCTGTATCAGTACAGATTTTATTTTCTGTGTCAAATTTAGAACCAATCCAAACTGCTTTTGTTTTAGAAATGTTAGGTTTTAAACCTGAAAATTTTGAAAATTGAAAAAGAAGATCCAGAGCACTTTTTAGACTCTTTTCTGTTCCATCAAGAAAAAGAACTGTGTCATCTGCATACTGTACAAGACAAACTTTTTCCTTCCCTATTTTAATGCCTTTGATATTTCTATTTTGTCGAATCATGTGTCCTAAAATTTCTACACAAAGATTAAAGAGGTAAGGAGATACTGGGTCACCTTGGCGACAACCCCTACCAATTTCAAAAAAATTTGAAAAAATACCATTCTGAATAACACAAAGACTAGCTTTATTATATAATACTGAAACCCATTTTATGAGGTCAGGACCAAAATTAAAGAATTTCAAAGTATTATACATAAATTTCCATGATATAGAGTCAAATGCTTTTTCAAAGTCAATAAGTAATATCATACCAGGAATATGTTTTTCATGTACCGTATTTATTACATCATAAATTATTCGTGTATTCTCTCCAATAAATATACCATTGAGAAATCCTTTTTGGTTTTTATTAATTACACAGTCAAGAACCTTTTAAAGTCTATTTGCAATGCACGCAGATGCAATTTTATATGTTACATTTAGAAGGGATATTGGGCGCCAATTACTAAGAAATTCTCGAGGTTTGTCTCCTTTTGGTAAAATTGATATAATACCTTGTTTCTGGGTTATTGATAGCTCTCCTTTTTGAAAACCTAAATTTATTGATCTTATTAAAAAGCTTCCTAAATCCTTCCAGAAAAATTTAAAAAATTCTGAAGTGAAACCATCACTGCCTGGGCTTTTATCATTTTTCATATCTTTTAAAGCAGAGAGGGCTTCCTCTGGAGTTATGATACCTTCCAAGCTATTCGACAAATGTTCATCCAAAATAAATATATCTTCTTTATTTATAATTTTTTCTAAGTTTACATCAGTTAGCCTGTTGTCACAACAGGAATATAGGTTTTTATAAAAACTTTCAATTTCTGTGAGTATTTCACCTTGGGAAATAATAGTGTTACCATTGCTTTGAATGATTTTGCTTATAGTTTTATTATCATAGTTTCTTTTTTCCAAACTAAGGAAATATTTTGTAGGTTTTTCTCCCTGTTCAATCCATTCCTTTAATATAGTCTTTTCGAAACTCTTCAAGCCTGTTTTGAGCTCTATTTAATCTTTCAACAATCTCATGTGACTCATTATTACTTCTTAAGGATTCTAAAAACTTAATTTCTTCTTCTATAGAGTTAATAGTTTTATTTTTTATTTCCTTTTTTCTAGAGCAGTAACATATTGTTGCACCTCTTATGCATAATAATAGCTGTTCAAAAAATAGTTGATCATCAATACAAATACACAGTTCTCTGTCGTCCACTAAACTAATAGTGGAAGGGTTGTAAGGAGAGGCAGCATATTGTAACTTTACTTTTTGAATTGTTTCCTTAACACAATTAATATAAAGCTGGTCTTTTAGAAGAGAATTATTGAATTTCCAAAAACCTTTTCCCCTTTCAAAATTATTGAATTTGATGAAGAGTTCAATTAATGAGTGGTCAGACCTATATCCTGGCTTAATATCAACCTTATCAACTAAAGCCATCAATTCATTAGAAACTAAGAAAAAATCAAGTTGGGCTTTTTTTTGTAGGATTGTTCTTAAACCATGTGAACTTTTTTCTCTGTTCATGTTTTACCCTCCAAGGATAAAAGAATGACAAGAATTTCAGTGTTTAAAGAATTAAATATATTCTGTTAATATTTGTATAATTTACAAGTCAAACGTAAAAGATTAAAACAATATAATATAAAATCACCCTGAAATTTGCAATATATTACCATTGAAAAAATTTTGGATTATCTGTATTTGGACCATATATATTAGCTAATAAAATGTCGTATTTATTGAATATATAATGTAATACCAACAGGTTACCTTCTTGATCACATGTTCATACATAATTTTATATTCAAAAGTATTATTAAACAAACTAGCAGTGCCTCTGGCATTAGATTGTCCAGGAGAAATATAGACATCATAACCCCATAAAGACCTAATATCGTTGTAATCATTCATAGTGAAATGTGTGTCTGGTAGAACAAACAGAAAAATGTTTTTGTTTAAATAGAATACGAAATTCGTAATATTACAAGTTAGGCAATATAAAACTTATATTACAATTTTTCGTAATTACATAAAATTTAATAACAATATAGCAGTGTAAAAACCATATTACCATCAATTCATTAGAAACCAAGCATTGCAAAAATTGAGTGGAGGGTTTTTTTGTATGACGTGTTCTATATCAATTCCATGTGTACTTTTTTCTCTGTTCAGTTTATTCAGTTACGCCTATCAGAAAGCATGGAAATTAAAGAAGAAAGTATCGCCAGCGATGGGTTTTTCTTATTATATCTTTTATAAATTTTCCCAGGATAGTCCAATTTTCCTGAAAATTTCAATATTCGCTTAAGCATGTCGCATAATTACAATATCACCCTGGAAATTTGAGTCTATATCATATTGATTGAAAAAATTTTGTGCAATTCTTATTTGAAATATATATTAAATAAAATCTCAGTAATTGAATATATTAAGCTATCGCCCGTGACATCTCTTGATCATACTTTGCTACCCACCATAATTTTATATTTGAAAATATTATTAAACAAACTAGCAATATAGTCTCTTACATCTGCTATTTTACAGTATTCGAAATTAAACTACATAACCAAAAATTGTAATATAAGTTTTATATTACATAACTTGTAATATGTGTGTCTTGTAGATCTTACGTTTTTTAAATAAGAATTTTCGTATGTTTTTGTTTAATGTAGTTAAGCACATCTCTCCTTTTTTCTAACCCCCAAGACCTCTACAGTTTAATGACATGACATTAAAGCTCATAGTATAATAGATAATATGGAGTAAATAAACAATATTTTTTCCGTAAGTATACACCCGAAGTGTACTGTGCAGACAATGGGAAGTATACGTAAAAAAATGCTCAATAAATAACATTGACTTAGTGCATGCACGTTGGTACGCATATAAATTGTAATACTATTTCTAACCCAACTTAATTCACACATACATCTTTCACACACTGACAAAGACAAACACAAAGACACGAAAAAATAAAGAAATGTAATTCCTGTAGACACCTGAGTGGCTCATTAATAGCACATTTTGTTTACCCAGCTACTATGTCCCTCATCACCTGAAGTGATCATAACTGTTTAAATTGCAAAAGAATTCCGAACGGAGTCACTTTTTCCGAATTCTTTCATCAATGGAGTTAAAAATATCAAACTTAATTCTGCGCTTCCCTTATTGTCCATATACTGCACCGTTGAAATACCAGGCGGAGTCGATTCTATGGTCGTCACTGAGTCTGGATATCAACATAGCGTTGTCCCGTGTCACGTCGTCTGCGACTCTCCACCCCTGTTTCAACTCTTTAATTTCTGATCTCTTTCTCATTATAGTCGCTTTAGCATCAGTGCTGCGCAATTTGACAATTATTGGTTGGGGCTGGTCCTTTTGTCCGGATGGAATTCGGTGCATCGCTATCACACCAGTTTCGGATATAGCCACGCCCACTTCCCCTAAGGCCTCATTAATCTTTTCTAATAAGTTTTCGTCTTTTGCCTCGGGAAACCCATGAAACTTAATATTTGTTTTTCTGGAATACTGTTCATTAAAATTTGCTTTTGCGGCAGCGCTTTTAGATAACTTCTCTACTTCCTCCACTCTATTGTGCACATCGTTTAGAGCATCATTGCTTTCATTTAGCTCCCTCTTAAGCTCCGAATTTTCTTTTTTTAATTTTTCAATATCGTGAGTTAGCTTTTGATTGTCTTGTTTTAGTTGCACAATTTGATCGTTCATTTTCTTTTCAAAATTCTTTAAATGATTGGAGAGTAACTCCTCTAGATCTACGACGTTTTTGATGATATCCCTGATGTCATCAACTTTAACTGATTTTTTCAAATCGTTTCTTATTTCAGTAAGTTGAGTCTGAATTGAGATCATTTCCTCTGACGGTCTCTCCGACGCTTTTTCCGATTTCTCTTGTTTTTGATTATTGTTATTTGGAGTCTGAGATGTTTTTTTAGAGATTGGACTGTTTGTTGACTTGCGTGAGTTAGAATTCGAATTTCTGGTAACAACACCACTGGCCGACATAGTCAAGTATTTGTCTATCGTGTTAATACTCATATATCCGGTTTGGGCATGTAACTATTTATAGTAATAACTACTCACGTCAATTTTTGGACTGAAAACTCCTACAAAAACATCGTTTTGCACTTTAGGTCTCCAAAAATAACAGTCCTGAATCTCTGAACACCCTTGATTATAAATATTTCATCCAAGACACCCAACTTATTGAGTTATGCACTATAATGGCCACTCTACCTCTCCCTCGCTAAGCCTGGCCTACTCGAACGGGCGCCATTACCGGAATCAGAACATGTAATCAATTTGTCATCTTTTTGTCATCTTTTTGCTTCTGGGTATTTAGGAAGCAAACAGGGTACACTATTACAAATGAAGCAAATGAGAGTTACTCTGTTTTCCTAAATGATGTTTTTTAAGAAAGCAGCATTGTAAAAGATTGACCTAACGATTATTATCTATGATTAGAAAAAAAAATGTATGAATTATAATGTTTTACATTGCGGTGTTAGATCGAGTCACTGGTAAAATTGAAAATTTAAAATTGAGCGTTATTTAAAAATTAACGTCAAGCGGAGTAATACGTTTTTGACGTAACTCATTGTGACGTAGGCAAGTTATGAGTAGTATAACGGGTCCAGCCGGGCGGGTCAACTGAGTGCACTTTTTATGCAAATGAGATTCAAAATGGAGGATTCTGATTGGCTGGGAGGATAAGGGGGTCAAGGGAGTGCAGTCCCCTGGGGGATAAGGGGGTCAAGGGAGTGCAGCCCCCCCGGGGGGATAGGGGGTCAAGAGAGTGCAGATTGGGGGTGTAGGGAGGATAGGGGTTCAACTCAGTACAGTCCTTGGGGTAGGGATAGGTGGGGATTCAGTATATAGCTCTAAATATAGTGGTTTACACAATACTGTAAGGACCGTGTGCAAAAAAATTAGGTACGTTTGCAAAAAATAGGTTGGACTTACCTATGCATTGTGACGTCATCCACTGTATAAATACAATGTGATTATGACGTCACCCATTCATTTACACTCTAGACAGCCTAGTCTAGCCAGTTTGAACTGGATTTTACCCAAAACAATAACAAGAACACACAATACAATAACAAGGCAATTTTTATTCAGAATGAAAAAATACAAACATACACTGTCTTCTTAATTTTTTCCCTCTCCTTTTTCTTGAGATTGTTTTCCTTCAGGCAATAAAGGGATGCGACAATTTACATACACTTTATAAATAGACCTATCTGTAAAAAGTCCTTGAAGCTTTTTTTCTTCCCTAAACCTCTTTTCTTTCCATTGATGAAAACAATCGGCAAGTGTAATTTTCCAGGAACTATTCTCCCCATGACAAGGTTCAG